AAAAACACACACGGCCGTGTGACCTGGCCGTGTGACACCAAATTGCACGGCCAAGCCACACTGACCGTGTAAGGGAACCCATGTGGCTGTGTGGAAATTCTAGGGAACTCACACGGGCAGCCTGGAAATCCACACGGCCGTGTGGTTGTGGCCATGTAGAATGCCTGAGGTCCACTTATCGAAACTCCGCATTTTGCACACTCACACGGGCAGCTGGGAAAACCACACGGCCATGTGGTCAAGAATTTCTGGGTTTTTACCCAAATTTGAGCCAAAGGAGACCGAATCGACTTTTTGGAGCAAAAAACGGAGCCCTAGAGAGAGAAAGTGCAAAGAAAACCCCCCTAAGAGTGGTTTTGGAGCTGGGTTTCATCAATCAAGCTTGAGAATCATCCTTGGAGTGGAGATCATCACCCCAAAGCAGAATCTTCCCATTGTTATGAATATGACTGCTTTGTATATTGTTTCCCTCTCTCTCTATGGAGTATGACCTTCTCTCACTTGGGTATGAAGAACCCTAGTTCCATGTGTTAGGGATCTTGATTGTAATGACTTGGGATTGTTATACTGTTTGGTTTTAATCGAATGATGCATGATTCATTGAATCAATTGAAGTATGATAATCTTTTCTTGATTTCTGCTGCAACCTGAGTTAGATAGAATTTGGTTTGGTTGTTAGAGCTTCATCATTCGGTAGTGGTAGATTGGTTATACGAGAGTTAGCCAATCTACTGCTTTGTACTGGAATCCAATTCATGTAGTGGAGTTCTGTGTTCATTGCCTCAGCGTTCTATCCCGGTGAAGGCTAGTCGTCTGTCGGGTAGTTGGACTGAGAGGGCTTGGTCAGCTTAAGAGATTCCAAGCTACTGTCGGATCTTCCACAGTTTAATCAACAGTAAATCAACCCAGGGTAATTACAACTGAGACCTAACAAAGGAGCTAAGGGGACTCATTCCCGAGTGACTCTTCCTTTGCTTCAGAAAACCGAACTATTTCCTGCTTTCTTACTGCTTTTAGTTAAAACCACAATCAATCGACTTAGTTGGCTAGATAATAGATATTCACGGAGTAAGCAGTAGAGCTAGACCCTGGGTTGATAATTAGAACTTGCCAATTTACTGCATTTTCGGACTGCGATTAGACTTGGTCGTAGTTTGGTGTTGTGTTTTAGCGTGTCAAAGTCCCTCGACGGTCGCTTTAGAGGTGTATAGTCAACTTATCTCCTTTATACTCCAAAATCACCCGTCTTTCCTGGACCTCAATTACACCTCTTGCTGTTGCCAAGAAAGTTCACTCGAGTAAGATCGGGGTGTTGGATTCCGCCTCAACAAAATCTACCATGTAAACAAACAATCCTACTATGACCAATACGTCTTCTATAATCCCCTTTGGGTAGGCTATTGAGCCATTGGCCAGTTTTACAACCATATCTGATGGGCACAGACTCGGTAATTCCAACTTTCGATACAATTCGAAGCTAATGATGTTGAGATTTGAAAAAAGTTCTACCACCACATTGTTGAAAGTGGCTCCCTTAATTGCACACGAAAGGCATGGGTCGCTCCTCTTGATTTGCACTTCACGCTCAACAAACAAAGGATAGGCTTGCGATATGTACACAATTGGGTGCTCTTCAAACTCCCACTTAGTGGCTACGATATGCTCAATACGGTTAACATAGTAGAAGATTCTCGAGACTTCTTGGATTTCCAGTATAGCTAAAGAGACTTCTCTTTCTATTTGATTTTTTTCATTTGGTCAAACTTCACATTAAGATTGACAGTTATGGGCCCCAACTCAATTGTCAAATCACTCCTTGGCGGTTGAGCTTGTGGTACCTAAGGTTTTTCTTGTCCCTCTCTAATTATCTTCGAAATAGTCCAAGGGAACTAGACATGACCTTGAGGTAGACACCAACACTTTGGTTTTTGCTTTCGTCGAGTCAACTTGAGTTATAGAAGCGTAGACAAACCGATCGAAGTCGTTCATCCGCTGATGACAAATAGAAAACCAATCAGATACCCTTTCTCCCAACCACTCAAATCGTCGTCTCGCTCACTACAGGATGTGCACGGTTCATTAGCAATGTGGTCTTGATGATGTTCCGGAGGGGGAGGAGAAACACTAGAACGGGGAGGCAACCTCGTGTTTATGGCAAAGGCTTGTTCCATCCGAGGTGACTCCATGTTGGCCGCCTCCCTTAGTTCCTCAAGCTATATGCCAATTTCGTTTATCTGACCTTGAATGGCTAGCTCTTTAGCCGAACGTGCTTCCTCCTATTATATGTAACAACATAGCTCCTTCACTTGCTCCTGATAATTGTATCAAAATCTAGTGGGATATCTTTTTTCGATAAATTCTTTGAAATTTTTCTAAAAGTCCTTTGGAGAACTTCTCGTTGAGTTTCTCATCAGAGTATCCATGGTTCGGACTTCTTCGTATCAACCCCTCAAAACGTTCCAAAGCTTGCTGGAAAGTCTATTGAACTTCTTGTTGAAAGGTGTCAATACATTTCCTTTGCATTACAGTCATTGTTCTAGCTAGATACTGGTACAAAAATGCTTCCATAACTTGGCTCCAGTACGGAGTAGTGGATTGAAACTCATTATACAAGATTGATGGATTCCCTTGTAGGGTGTAAGTGAAGAAAATACAATTTATCTGATTTTGAGTGAATCTGAAAATCTTCAAAGCTTTGACGGCCTTTAAGAAGTAGGACATATGATCGAGAGCACTCTCATCATCCCTTTCTTGGAATTGTGATTGCCGGTGAAGCCTATCTATTGTTTCCCTTGCAATACACTCTAACTCGATTGATGCATGAGTAATTAATCTATTCAGAAACAAAAACTTCCATAACCCGTGACGTACGAAGTTGGATAACCAAACAAACAACGAAATACACATGAAAATAACAAAAACACAAAGCAAAAAACGAAACAAACACGCAAATAACAAAAACACAAAACACAAAACTAAACAAACAAAACAAGGTAAAGACTAACTAACAACTTGATGGTTTTCTACTAGTTACCAAGGTTCCCCAGAAATGGCGCCAAAAAGCTTGATCAGTTCAATCCGTGCAGATTATTGTCAATGGTTAGCACGTGCCAACAACTAATCCATCATAAGCCAAGTTGAAATTAAGATGGTATTGTCGTATAGTGGTGATCAAGGTCGTATTTTACTCAGGTCCTGGTACCCTGGCCTACTTCCCACCTAGTTGCTAACTAGTTAATCGGTTTTGGAGGTTTGAGTGGAGGACTCGAGGAGATAACTTGACTAGAGATTGATCAAATCTAAAAGCAGGCACTTTAGGGAACAAATCCTCCCCCTAGCTTAGGGTTATTATGCATGCATAAATACTTAGAGTTATCGAATGTGGTGAGTGAGCTCTTTTCCGTGGGCTTTCGTGGTTATCCACACGCCTCCAAGTGAGCCTCCCCTAAATCCATATATTGAAGAAATTGATGATGCGGAATTGATACAAACACATAACACAAGAGTTTTACGTGGTATCCTCGGTCGATTGATTGATCGAGACTAATCCACGGTGAGCTCGAAAGAGCTCACAACCGATGATTTTATTATATGACTACATCTTAACGGCTTGCTTACGACAAGTTCGTAGCTAAGTCTTATATAGAGATAAACTAGGGTTAAAACCTTAACGAGAAGAGTCGAGTACGATCAAGTACGGCGCTGATTGACAAGGACGGACGAACCCGGATCCAACGACGACCAGGACTAGCGTGGGCGATATTAGAAGCTGACATCGGGGCTGCATTAAGCAATAAAACCCAATAGAAAACTCGACGAGCAGTGACTGGACGGATGACTGAACCGGCAAACGACAGTGACTGGATGGAGTGACGACGAGAGGATTGCTCCAACCGGTGGTGAGACTTTGCTTGCCGACGATTCAGGACGGAACTGGATACCCAACCAATGATGGGTTGACTATCGGGGATGCTTGATTGGTCCACGACCGTTATTTGGACAAAGACCCTGATTTGACGAAGGCGCCCTCTTCGCTTGATTTGACGCTCTCGGCGGAAGGCGATTGCCATGTCCCTGTGATGTAGCGGCCATGACGATTGACTAAGTACGACTTCAGGAATGGCAGCAACCATGATGTTGGAGTCGGAGGTGGAGCCTGCAACGACATGGGACGATTGAGATGTGGCCGCCGAAGGCTGCGGCGGGGGCCTGGAGTAGCGGAGATTTTGGACTAGCGTGGCCCCTGAGCGAGGCTTTATTTGAAACTGGATCCGACCAAAATTAGGGACTTTGCCGGATGTGGCGACGACCCGAAGAGAGACCTGTGACTAGGCGACAACGGCGAGGATGATGTTTGTAAATGAAGACATGGACATGGATCCGAAAAGAAACCTTGATTGGAGATGGTGACAGTGCAATCAACACCGACATTAAGCCCTTTGACAGTGGCCTTCTTAGATGTTACAGAACTCGGAAATGAACTTCTCTGGTATAAACTAACAAAGAATAGCAATGGATTCCTGCGATCGACGATGAAACTTGCGATGAGCCTGACGGGAGTTGGCGCTGGGTAGCAATGAAAATTCCAAGACGCGTTTACCAGTGCGCAACTCGGACTCATTGCGGCGGACCTCGAATACTTATAGGGTTCCTCTAGATATAAAACCGCTCTGATACCATGAATAAATTGATGATGCGGAATTGAAACGAACACAAAACACAAGAGTTTTACGTGGTATTCTCGATCGATTGATTGATCAAGACTAATCTTCGGTGAGCTCGAAAGAGCTCACGATTGATGATTTTATTATAGGACTACATATTTACGACAAGTTCGTAGCTAAGTCTTATATAGAGATAGACTAGGGTTAAAACCCTAACGAGAAGAGTCGAGTACGACCAAGTATCCGTACCTACTACGACTCATACAAGGCCCAATACTAACACAGTTTAAGTAACCGCAACATATATAGTCACCTCAATCTAGGCTATCATATAGGGGGCAATAATCATGGCTCATTTGAATGGACACTATCCGCAATCCACACTGAGGTTTCATCCCGGGTTCTATCTAGGAAGGCTAACCTACGACAGGGTTTCGATCGCCTTGACCATCATAGTTCCCTATTCATATATCTATCTCGATTTGTTGATGGCACATACACGTCTAACCCTAGAACTCCATACCTAGGTTAAAAGCATAAAGTAGGCTAATAGAGAAGATTAGGGCGACTTACCCAAACACAATCAAGGATATAATATCAATAGAATCAACTAGATAAACACATCCATTCATTCAAAACCTAAAATATTCATACATTCGTACATACATAATAAATCCAAAAACTAGGGTTTGGGGTTTAGAACCCCTAGTACCTCAGAGGACTACTCCATAAAGGAGGGAAGACGAAATATAAACGAAATTGAAGAAGACTTGGGTTGAGGAAGATGCTCCCTCTCTTCTAGCTCCCTCTCCTTCTTCTCCTTCCTTCAGCTTCTCTATCTCCTCTCTCTCGAACACCATAAATTTCTCTCAAAATCAACTCTTCTAAAAGGGGGAAATGGGTCATCTATTTATAGGCAATCTGGGGATGGAGAAGTTCGCTACCAGAAGCACAGAGATCGCAGTCGTGATCTTTGGAAGTGAGGCCGCAATCTTGGAACACCGTCGTCTTGGCCTTGGGAAATGAGCAAATCGCAGGCTAACTTCGAGGTTGCGATTCACGAGTCACGACCGCAATCTTCCTCGCGGTCAGATGATGTTGTGGCCGTGATTAGACCGGTGAAAGTCTCTGCTTCTCCCTGGCTCTTTCCTCTCCAAGTTCGCACCCTAAGCCTTCCAATTTGCGGCCGCAATCTGGGGCTTCCTGGTCTCGATTTTCAGCTTGAGTTCGCGGTCTATGTTGCCGGCCGTGAGCTTAAGCTTCCAGGCCATGATCTTGAGCTTCCTTCCCCTTTGCTGCTACACTTGTGACCTTGTTTTGCACCTAATTCGCACATATTGTCTAATACACCCTAAAATCACATCGAATTCACATAAGAACGAAATAGGGATGCAATCGGCGATGTTCAAGCTATTGTGCACATGAATTGACACAAAACAAACCTTGATATGAGATTTAAATAACACTAATTTAGGTGTTATCAGCACAACAAGAGATAAATATCCGCACAAGTCAGAATAACATCGACCCAACACAGACTAATATCCAACTAAGGGTTATGGATCTACACCATTTTCATTGTCAATGACGATTGGGTTCTTCTCACCATTGTTTGACATGTTGTCGCGTTTGGAGGAGGAGCTCATTGCTTGCCCAACATCGTCGGGCATGATGACAACATCTCCAACTCACCGTTGTCATCAATCATCATCCTTGACCCTTGATGGTGGCAAATGAGAGGATAACGGAAGGGATGCTTGTCGACGTCTCTTCCCTTGGAAGAGAAGAGAGAAACATAGAAAAGCGAGATGAGAGAGAGAGAGAGAGAGAGAGAGATGTGTGTGTGAGAGAGATAGGGGGACTTGTTTAAAAATACAGAGAAAGAGGAAGAGATAGAGAGAGAGGGCGGTGAGTGAGAAAATTTGGTGGTTGAAGAGTATTAAATTACTCATAACTTCTCTTCCTTTTCTATCACTTTTTTTTGGGTGAAATTTCAACATATCCCGCCCAAAACACAACTGTCTCCAAAGCCACCATGGGATGGCTCGATTTGAGTTGGTGAAGCCCATCTCATCTCACTTAAGTGAGCCACTGCGAAGCCCCTCCCTCTCAGCCCTTGGATCACGGCTGGACCGACATGACCACAAATTGGGTTGTGTGAGTATCTACTAACGGATCTTCCTGTTAACAGATTAACTTTTTCGACCCTAGATACAGTCTGTAGATGGAGGGTGGAGATGCATTCTTGCTTTCTTTTGTGGGCTCCTGAGAATATACGCGAAGATGAGGCGGACCGAAGAGGAGTTTTTTTGTCTTCCATTTTTTATTTGCAACCCCAAATCACATTATTATGAGTTATCAGTCGATTATAGGGATTTGGGGGGGGGGGGGGTGGGTGGGTGGGTGGTAGTAGAGTGCATTATCGACTAAGGGAGAAGAAGCTATGAATGCTGGCCTCTGTTCGTGGAGAGCAATCATCCGGTGTCTCACCCATTGTTGATTCAAGTCAACCATATACTAACAAAGTTAAAATGGGATCATCAAGACTTAAAAGCAAATGACAAAATTAGGGTTACCTCTAATATACTAATAGACTTGATCAAAGTAATATGACACAAAATTAAGCACTCCTTATCTACCAGTTCCAGTAGCTTGAATAGAGAATCAACCTTAATTTAAGTAAATCAATCAATGATTCCTCGTTTTAAGATAGACATAGGTTGTGGTAGCTGCAAACATGCAACAACTATAAACCTAAGGATCCAATAGGTACCACTCTCCATTGTACGACCAAATTTTTATCCCCTCTATCTTCAATCTCAAGTGGCATGTGTTTCAACCCAAAATTCATTTTCTAATCCTCCCCCTGCAACTTTTATTTCTGCTACTTTGATGAACCTTCTCTCTGTGGCCCTTAATTTCTCTTCCAATTGGGGTCTTGTCAACTCACTCTTCAACTCCTCAAACATCTTCTTGTATTTGGCTAACTCGTCTTCCTTAGGGGCAGTTGTAATAAGCTCGACAAAACAACACTCATCTCCAATTCCGTCAATATGCTCATCTCCTCCTTGACTACTTTCACCTACTCTAGTTCACTTCCATGCCCTTCAATACCCTCTACATTTTTTACAATATCCTCATCGTCTCTCACTTCTCTCTATTTAACTACTCCAGTTTAGCTTCCCTGTCTTTTAGTACAATCCTCAATTCGATCACCATCCTCACCAACTCCCTCTTCTCTGCCTTCACCTTAAGTAGTTGAAATTTACTTGCTATCAAATCCAAACACAATTTCTTCTCACACCACTTCCTTTCCTAAACCTAATCCCAACTCTTCTACTCCAAGTTCAATACCCCCACCTCCTAGAGTACTGTTGCATGGAGGCTTAATTTTAGCAATAATCATTATGGCTTGCAATTATATTGATGGACACTAAAAACATTGACAAAATCAAAATGTCTAACTAATCCTTAAATAGTATCAACATTTGATCGGTGAACTGGACCATAAGAAACGAGATTGACGAAGAAGAATATGGTTGCAGAGAACATTAGCAATGGCAAAATAATAATTGAGCGGAAATATTGTAATTGAAAAGAAACTTTTTTTTTTATAATGGTGATCTTATGTTATTATTTCAATAGCTAAGCAAAGAACAAAAAAATACAATAAACAAACAACCAAGAAAGTAGATAGGGCGCTAGGAAAGTACAACTGTGCGCCCTTCTTCTACACAAACATCTATTTGATTTCAGACAAATATAGCACCCAAACCACCGTTCAAATTCCTTTCCTATATTTTATAAATCAATCACAAACAACTTAGATAATTTGGGAAGGAAATAATAGCCTACCAGTCCAACTCAATGAACCTTCTATGAAGATAGAAAACTCATTGAAGTTGAAACCAAAGAACAAAAAGAGGAGCAACGACGCAAGAGATCCATTGGGCTTCAAACATCATATTAGGCTATAGGATCAAAAGAAATAGTTCTTCTGCATGTTCTTATCATGAGATAACATGAAATTAAAAGTAGTTTTCTTATTAATCAGAAAGATAAAGCATGAAACAAAGAGAAAAAAGGAATGACTTACATATGTCAAGCGATTAACCTTGGGCGAAGACCAAAAACCCATTCAAGGTCAAAGTTTGGTATAAGAAGAGGAGTAAAGGAGGAAGACATAACTGATCAAACATCCTCTTCAGCAATATAAACAACAAAATAGTTCTTCTAGTAGCTCATCAATATAGGAGAGAGAGAACCATCGAGCGATGCAGTGCGGAGGACTCGAGCAAGATAGGCCAGACCCTAACTACTTGATTGAACTCCATTCTATTCATCATGGAATTATATCGGAGTTGAAATCTTCTACTTGCCCAACTTTCCCAACAACCAAACCGTAGTTCTATTTGATACCAAAAGATTGATTTTCATATGCGTCCTTGTACTAGAAGTGAAAGGGAGCAAACTATTCCGCTATGGAGGAAATTTCAAAGGAACTTAGGAAGAGATAAGAACAAAGATAAAAAGCGCAAAAAATGTTTTAAATTAAAAAAAAAATGTAAAGACAATACATAGTAAAAGAAATAGTTTCTTCCATGTTAACCAATTACCAATGTACCCATAGTGATAATTAAGGGGAGAGTAAATTTTACAATGGAGAAATTATATGAAACTGTACTATGAAAATTGATATATCAAGAACTATGAAAATACTTACAGGAGACTTAGTGGGCTAGCTAATCATGATGGAAAAGTCCTCCGGTTTTCAGAGGTTAACTTTGTCTATGGTCTGTAATAAAAAAACTGCAACAATTTTTTTATAGTGTGGTTGGTTATGCTTGTTGTCTTTGTTTGATGAAAACCTGGTTCAAATCTTGATATCGATACCATTTTATATGAATTAATAAGGAATTGTAAACACTGAAATGCCCTTCCTATTTTCATTCTCGTTGCAGGAAATTTGAAATGGAGAAAAGAAAACTCTACCATATATCATTGGAGGATTTTTTTCGGCCAAAAATGATAAAAACGAATTAAGAGGGTAGTTGCATTATTTTCCAGCCCAGTTAATGGGCACTTAATAGATAATTAGATACGAGGGTATGTTATGTTTTCAATATTAGAAGGGTATATTTGTGCAAGGAGTACGTTTTTTAATTTACAATAGTAGAGGGGTACATACTGCTATTAACCTTATGCAATATAATCAATATCAGTAAATGAAATATGATAATAAACAACTTTATCGTGATACGTTGACATCAAAGCGTCCATAAACCGAAACAATCAAACTAGCCACTCATAGGACATGAAACATAAAAAAACATAACTTTCAGATAAAAAACCTATTTTCTAAAAATGACAGCTTTCTAGCTAAATCGACAATTTTGGAGCTAGTAGCTTAGTTTGGCCCTGCTGTAGCTTTTGCAGAAGCAGCTTCTGGCTGGAGCTTTTAGATAAGTACTTTTCAAAAAAAGCAGTTTGTGTAAAATGATTATAAAGTGCTTTTTAATATGAGCGGTTGTGTAAAATGAGTATTGACACGCTACGACACAACACCAAACTGCGACCAACTGTAATCGCAGTCCGGAAATGCAGAATAGTGGCAAGTTCTAATTATCAACCCAGGGTCTAGATCTACTGCCTACTCCGTGATTATCTATTATCTAGCAAACTAAGGCGAGTGATTGTTGTTTTAACTAAAAGCAGAAAGAAAAGCAGGAATTGATTCGGTTTTCTAAAGCAAGGGAAGAGTCACTCGGGAATGAGTCCCCCCTAGCTCCTTAGTTAGGTCTCAGTTGTAATTACCCTGGGTTGATTTACTGTTGATTAAACTGCGGAAGATCCGACAGTAGCTTGGAATCTCTTAAGCTGACCAAGCCCTCTCAGTCTAACTACCCGGCAGACGACTAGTCTTTACCGGGATAGAAAGCTTAAGCAATAAGCACAAAACTCCACTACTGGAATTGGATTCCAGTACAAAGCAGTAGACGGACTAACTCTCGTATAGCCAATCTACAACTACCGAATGAACAAGCTCTAACAACCTAATCAGATTCTATCTATCTCAGGTTGCAGCAGAAATCATGAAAAGCTGATCAGACTTCAATCAATTCAATGAATCATGCATCATTCGATTAAACCAAACAGTATAATCATCCCAAGTCATTACAATCAAGATCTCTAACACATGTGACTAGGGTTCTTCATACCCAAGTGAAAGAGGGTTCTACTCCATAGAGAGAGAGAGAGAGAAAAACAGAATACAAAGCAGTCATACTCATAACAATGGGAAGAATATGCTTTGGGATGATGATCTCCACTCCAAGGATGATCTCCAAGCTCGATTTGATGAAACCCAGCTCCAAGATCGCTTCTAGGATGTGTTCTTTGCACTTTCTCTCTCAGGGCTCTGTTTTTGCTCTGAAAAGTCGATTCTCCCTGTTTTGGCTCGAATCTGCCTCAAAAACTCGATTCTGGGCGAATTACGGGCAGAATTACAGTCGTAATCATGGTCTGCCCGTAATTGCCCAAAACGCGCGTTTCAATTGACTCAGAAGAGAGGATTTACGGTCGTATTTTTCCAATTACCTCCAGTAATTACTGAATTACGACCGTAGTTAAAGTGACTCTTGCCCGTAATTGACTCTGCGACAGGAATTCTGGAAATTAGGCTCGGCATTAAAATTACGGGCATGCCAGGAACAATTACGACCGTAATTGTGCTGGGGCTGCCCGTAATTTTCCCTTTAAAACGCAACCCGACCTCCAAATGACCCGAAACTTGCGCCTATGCACCTCTTTACTTGCTATGATCTGAAATACGCCAAAACAACACAACCTAGCGTAAAATAGGCCAAGGAACAATAAAATCGAGCTAAAATGGTCAGGAAACAAGGGTGAAAACATGTGCAAATACGATGCTATCAACTATAAAGGACTTATAATATAAAATATAAATAAAAATTCTTAACAATAAAAAGTAGTCAAAATGGATCTTGTTAGATTTCTTTTATATTAAATAATATGAATTTATAATTTATTCTATTTTTAAAATGATATAAATAAAGGAAATTATATTTTCTAAAATAAAATTAAAATATGGTAAGGATAATCTTGTATTTTCAAAACAACTTTTCGCAGAAGCTCCAAATCGGAGCTTCTGCTTTTATGTTATACAAAAGCGTTTTTCGGCTTTTCAAAAACCGAGCTTTTAGAGGTGTTTGGACATGCTTCAGCTTTGAAGCCGAAAAGCACTTCTAAAAGCCGGATCAAAATAGGTACTATAGGCTACCATTTTCTTCCTCTGGGATTCTGGATGATTTCTAAGTTTTGGAGTTTTCTGGACGCAGAGTAACTTCTCTGTAAAAGTTCTTCGTTTAGAGCCAGAGGGGTCTCTTTATAAGATTAAGAGCTAGGTTTTCTAGACAATTTTCTAGCAAAGAAGTTATATTTTGCGAATCTTTCCTCATTATAATTTGTTTGGATATTTAGAGAAGATTATCTGGTTGTCGGAAGTGAAATTGAACTTTTCTAGGTTTTGACTCTTGGGGCAGACAAAATGGGTTTAGGTAGGCACTAAAACCTTCCAAGATGGATTGGGGCCATCCTAGAGAGATAAAACATAGAGTTATGAAGATCTAGAGAGCGAGCACGAGTTTAGGAGTTTCTTCATTAATTTAACCCCAACTGCAATCAAGATTCAACTAGAGTGCCCAAATGAAGCTGGAGAAGAAGATATACACATGCGTTGTCTTCTTCCTCCTCTTTGTATGCTCTTTATCTCTCTAGGTTCTAGGTTCTCTAATTTCTTAAAGATGAAGTTTAGCTTTTGATTTGATGTGGGTATGTATGTAAACCTTGATTGTGAACCTATTAGCTATATTTATTGATATTTTATCATGATTCCTTGGTCCTTGATTGAGAATTTGGACTTGGTGTTCTTTACTTAAGAGAGTGATCATCTAATTAGGTCAAGATTAGATCACACATCAATATAATTGAGGCAAGTAGTAGCCTAGAATTGTAATTAAGTGCATGACGATTGACTTAATTACTAGTCTAAGTATTTTCCTTGAATTTAGAAGATGGCGAAAGCCTTCATTGGGTTGCATCAATCTATGTTAACCTGTTGCTAGAGGGATTCAACCCTAAGCAACAACCTACCTCTAGTGATCCTTTGTACTTAGTTTTATTTATTTCCATTGTTAGTTTAGTTACGCGACATTGGCATCTTTGTTTGGCTAAATACTATCTTCAGTAGACGTGCTAATCTGTTCGATTTCGGTTAACCACTAACTGATTTGATGGTTAGTGGTTAACCATTACACAAAAGTAATATCGAAAACCAAACCAATAAGCCTTATCGATTAATTACATGTTATCGGTTAGTTTGTTGTTTAATCACTAACCAATAAAAACCTCCACATGCAGAGACGAAGCTATGATTTGGCGTTCGGGGGGTTGAGGTTGTCGAAGGAAGATTTGCGATGGGCATTATACTGCTGTTGTTCGCGTGCTTTCTTCATCCGGTTTCCCCCCTTATTTTGATGCCACTCTTGTGGCCCTGCAAGATAAGCATCTTGTCGTCCCATCTCCCTCTTTACCGAATTTACATGTGGATCATCATCCTCTTGTTACCTCTTCAACCGTTGTTTTGGATATGATTAAGAGCTTCCCTAGTGGTACGTCTTGAGGTAGGGATGGTTTTCGAGCTCAACATCTTATGGATTGTTTGGGTGGTGCTGTTGTTTATCTCGGATGATTTGATAGCCTCTATTACTCAATTGGTTAATCTTTTCCTTGAGGGTCGGTGTCCGCAGGCCCTTGGTGACTACATTGCTAGTGCTCTGGTCACGCCACTTGTTAAACCAGGGGTGGTATCCGTCCTATAGCTATTGGCACTGTATGGAGACGTATTGTTTCTAAGGTTGATGTTTGTCATGTTGGCCCTACTTATATCTGGTTAATTTGTTGGTCTTCAGTTTGGGGTTGGGGTTTCTGGTGGAGGAGAGGCTATTTTGCTTGCCTTGAACCAGTTCGTTGAGGCCCGTGGTAGTGACGTAGGTCTTTCTATGCTACTATGCGATTTCCAGAATGCTTTCAATTTAGTTGATCATGGGGCCATGCTTCAGGAAGCTTTCCGTCATTTCCCGGTCATGTCCCGATGGGTTAAGTTATGTTACTCTAGCCCTGCCCGACTGTATTATGGGAAGTATAGCTTACGGTATTTCCAGAGCTATACTTCCCATAATACAGTCGGGCAGAGAGACCCTTTGGGCCCTTTGCTTTTTTGCTTTGGTGTTGCATCCTTGAGTGTGCAAGATCAGAGACACTTTTGATCTGAGTATGCAGGCTTGGTATTTGGATGATGCCACTATTTTGGGGGACACTTTGGTTGTTGGGAAGGTCTTGGACATGATTATGGATGAAGGCCCTCGAGTTGGCCTTCACCTAAATGTGGGTAGGACATAGGTTTTTTGGCTTACTAAGGATCCCAGAGGTCGGCTTTCGGGTGTTTACCATGCCTCTATCGCTCGGCCTCCACCCAGTGTCACCGTTCTGGGTGGTCCTGTCAGTTCTTGTCTTGATTTTAGCAATGAGCTTGTGACAAAGAGAGTTACTAAGTCCATTGAGTTGATGGACTTGGTTGCGAGGATTGATGACCCTCAATGTGAGTTGCTTTTGCTTCGGGCTTGTACTGGTATTTCTAAACTCTACTTTGCTTTGTGTACTTGCTCCCCTCATGTTTTTGGCTCGACTCAGCTATCTTTTGACACATCTCTTCGGTCTAGTTTAGAATAGAACGTATTGTCACTACTTTTGGGCCCGGGTTTGGTGATTGACAATGGCGGCTTGCCACCTTCCCTTCTTATTTGGGAGGGATTGGGGTTTATCTTGTTGGAGATTTCATGCATTATGCTTTTTTGGCGTCTCGTTTGCAGTCTGAAGAGTTGAAAGCTAAACTCCTAAGACCTTCTGGCATTCTATCTCCTGGCCTTGCTTTTGACGACGCCTTACGCACCCTTAATGTGTTTACAGGTTCTGATATCTTATGTGACCCTAGTGGAGTTGCTTCCCCAAAACTTGTGAATAAATTGGGGGACATATATTTCGCGAAGGTTGTTACCACTTCATAATCTATTTTCTCATTGACTACGTGTCAGGTGGCTTTGTGGAAGTCTCAACAGAGTGCACACTCTTCTGATTGGTTGCGTGTTGTTCCTATTGTTGGTTTGGGTCAGACTATAAATGGGAAGAGATATCGTAGTGTGCTTAGTTATCGGCTGGGTGTCTTGTTGTTTTCAGTATCTAAGCCATGTCCTGCTTGTTCCCGTGTTTTTCCTACTTATGTCTTTGGGTATCATGTTGTGTCATGTGATGGTTCAGTGGGCATTAAGCATCGTGATACGATCCCAATTGGATCAATACACAAGTTATAATTACTTGATCAAACAACATCCTCAGTCACTAACAATAACTCTGATTTTTTGCTAAGTTTATTTACAGTTTTAGGTTACCCACTTAGGAGGCTTGGTTCTTCCACTATGCTTCATGAAGATTCAAGTTTGATGGTTTTTATTGGAGCTGGGATGTTTGTCTACACCCTGGAATGTTTGGAAGCTCGAGGCAAAGCTAAGAAGGCCACTTTTCAAGCTGTCCAAAACTGGCTAAGGGATGGAACAGTTTCAGGAAGCTCACTTGGGAGCTCGATTCCAGAAGATTGAGGGAAAGTCGAGTTCCAAGGATGATACCCCATAAAAGTAGGTTTCTTCTACTTCATCGACAAGGCATTGGATTCTCAAGGGGTTACCTGGAAGGGATGGAATGAAAGCTCCAAAGATCGTATCGAAGCCACGTTTTCTGTCTTTGGAATTCATCAAATCCAAATCCTTCTCTGATTAGGATTAGAAGACTGTTTGTAATTTTAATTGGTTTTTGTGTTGAATTTGGATTCTTTTTTTTTTATAGTAGAACTATTCTAAGAGTGTTAGTATTAGCTAGGTCTACTTAAGTAGCTTTGATTCATTGTAATTTTTAGTTTTGAGTTGAATTGAATAAACCGTGAGGTTGTGGTTCCATAGCATCTTGCATTGTGAAATTGGAGAACTTCCTAGCTGAATCTAGGTAATTTTGGAGCTTGTATCTTTAAGTTATTCCCACTGTTCACTGCGAAGCATCTACCCAAAGTTTTCGAGACTCTCTTCTCTTCGAGAAGGTTGCACGAAATCGCCATCCAAACATGAGAAAAAAAACTCTGTTTTTGTGATCTTTCTTACCAAAGTTCGATTCAAGCCTTCGATTGAATCCAAGTTGTGCTTCTCTGATCCAAACCACCTACCTTGGGGATTATTAAGTGGCATCACGAGTTTGGTTCAAAATAGTTGTGAGAATGGAGGATAGCATCGTAGCGATGACGCCGTGGACGAGGTCGAAATGTCCTGTTTCCGAAGACCCTGCATCGGTGTTTCCAGAACCAACAAAGAAGAAGAAGTACGCAGCCATGGCAGGACAAGTGTTCGACATGGAAAAACTACTGGATCACAAGGAGGAGAGGTTCCAGACTCAAATCCAGCATCAGCTGTGTCCGTTTAAACGCGAAATTGACCAAAATTTTGAGGCTCTAAAGCTAAGAATGAAGTCCGAGCAGGAGAAGTAATCGGCCGAGAGAACCCAGTTGGCGATCCAAAGTTGATGAATCAAATTGCTGAGCTACGTCTAGCCGTCGCTGAGCCTCAACAAGATCGCTAACATCACGACAGACGCGATCGGCAGCACACCGTGGAGGCGGCAGTACCACCAGGAATCAAGTTTACCGTACCGTCGTTTTAGGGGACGATGAACCCATCGTCACACCTCGACTGGGAAAGGAAAATTATCCTTTTCTTTCAGTGTGGCCAATTCAGTGAGGCCCAAAAAGTGGCCATGGCCACTTTTGAGTTCACGGATTATGCTGCCCAGTGGTGGGAACAGTTTCAATGTCGTTGGCAGCAAAACCAGAGAAATCTGGTGGTGACATGGGAGGAGTTACGAGGATTAATGAGGGACATGTTCATTCCCACCTACTATCAAAGGGAACTCTACGAATCCCTGCAAGGAATTTGATAGGGAGCAAGAAGCGTGGAGGAATTCTTCTGGGAACTTGAATCACTGATGATGTGCGCCGACGTCAGGGAGGATCGGGACACGACGATTGCGTGCTTTCTCCATGGTCTGAACAGGGAAATCTGGTAGGAAGTTGAGCTCAGGGCATTTGTCATCTTGGAAGAATCTCTTCACCTCGTAATTAAAGTCGAAAGGCAGCAGAGAACCTCAAGGAAAAGCATTATGGCAAGCAAGCTAGGGACAGAGACACCTGCCAAAGCTAATCCCCATAAATTGTGACGCGATATAGGAAAATTGAATCCCAGAAACGTTCAACCATATCTAACGAACGCTCTAGAGGGATACAGTTCTACAAGTGCCACCAAAGAGGGCACAAAGCCAACTAGTGTTCTAACTTGAAGACTTTGGTGATCAAAGGCGACGAGGAGCAAAATTCTAGCGACGAGGAAGTTGATGAGAAAATTGAAGCCGAGCCTCCACCTGACAAGCTTCTAACTGTTAGCCGAAGGGATTTAACCATTGAAACTCATCCAGACTTGAGCTAAAAGGAAAACATATTTCATTCCCGTTGTTTGGTTGCCGAGAAACTCTTATTAGTGATCGTTGACGGAGGCAGTTGTGCCAACGTCATCAGCCATGATGCGGTGGAAAAACTCGGATTGAAAACTAACAGGAATCCAGAGCCATAAAACCTGCATTGGCTCAACGATTAAGGAGCAGTGCGAGTCTCTAGCCAAGCAAAGGTGAAATTCAAAATCGGGGCATACCACGACGAGCTCGAATTTGACGTTTCCCCGATGCAAGCTGCTCACTTACTCCTTGGGCGGCCGCGGAAATTCGATCGTGGCATTTTTCAGGATGGTGGGATGAATTGCGACACTGTTTAAGACAAGGGAAAACGAATTCTGTTGAAGCCCCTGTCACCGGAAGAAGTTTGAGAGGATCGAAGGCAGCTAGAGGCTAGTCGACGGCGAGCCAGGAAACATTCAGGTGGACAATCAGATGTAGACACCAATATTGCCACTCTCACGACTCGCCGATATATGTTGATGGGGTATAAGAAAGAAAGAAAAATTCATCGACGTCGACCCTGCAGGCCGTTGCTGGAGCAGAGCTGGAGAGGAACGAACATACCTGGATTGGCGGATCCAATTCGGCCAAATATTGGTCTAGAAATGATCAAGCACGACCAAATTTTGAGTGAATTGGTTAAAGATAATGGGAATGAATCGAAGAAATTGGATGATGCGGAATTGTTCATGGTGAACCCAGGAAGCTCTCAGATTCGTCAACTCAACCCCGATATTCCACTATCCAAAACAACAAATTTTCAATTAGATTTTATGGGTTCGAAGAGTTTGAACATCAACGATGGCGGGAACCCAAGGAAAGATGATTCGACGATGAAAACAATTATTCGACCCAAGAGACCCATCCATAACTTCAATTCGATGACAAAGAAAGTCATTGGAGGCCTTGAATTGATCTACAGATCCTTGGAGAAGAAAGCCCCAATTTGGTTGCTCAAGAACACTACCCCGACTTTTCAGAAATTCTAGTTCGAGCAACCTTTTATCGACCCAATTTGGGAGCAATTTTGTGAGTCATATGAGGAACTGAAGGCCGAAGCTTTGAGGTCAAAGGTTTTTTATGGGGGAGGGACTGACATGATCCCAATTGGATCAATACAAAAGTCAAAATTGCTTGATCAAACAACATCCTCAATCACTAACAACAACTCTGATTTTTGGCTAAGTCTATTTATAGTTTTAGGTTACCCACTTTGGAGGCTTGGTTCTTCCACTCTGCTTGATGAAGATTCAAGTTTGATGGTTTGTATTGGAGCTGGGATGTTTGTCTACACCCTGAAATGTTTGGAAGCTCGAGGCAAGGCATTGGATGATCAAGGGGTTCCTTGGAAGGGATTGAACGAAAGCTCCAAAGATCGTATCAAGGCCACATTTTTTGTCTTCATCAAATCCGAATCCTTCTCGGATTAGGATTACAAGACTCTTTGTAATTTTAATTGGTTTTTGTGTTGAATTTGGATTCCTTTTCATAGTAGAACTATTCTAAGAGTGATAGGATTAGCTAGGTCTATTTAAGTAGCTTTTTTTCATTGTAATTTTCAGTTTTTTGAGTTGAATTGAATAAACTGTGAGGTTGTGGTTCCATAGCATCTTGCTTTGTGAATTCGGAGAACTTCCTAGCTAAATCTAAGTGAGTTTTTGAGCTTGTATCATAAAGTTTTTCCCACTATTCGTGGCCAAGCATCTACCCTAAGTTTTAGAGCCTCTCTTCCCTTTGAGAAGGTTGCACGAAATCGCCATCCAAACACGAGCACAAAAACTCTGTTTTTGTGATCTTTCTAGTTTGATTCAATCCTTGGATTGAATCCAAGCTGTGCTTTTTTGATCAAAACCACCCACCTTTGGGGTTATCACATCGGCACAACCTCGTTCGTGACACCTTATTGGACATCTGTTATGTGTTTGTTATTTCTGCCGATAGGGAGGTTGGTATTGGTTTGGTTGATGGGCATGGCGGGCCCCTTCGTCCTGAGGATTTTTTGCTTTATTCCTAGGACATGGGGCGAGATGTGTGTGTCGATTTGACTGGGTCTTCATCTCTGACTCGGACTGGGATGAGTAGTTTTGTGCCTAGCCGAGTTGTTGGTGATGCTGCTCAGCGAAAGTGTGCCAAGTATCAGGACTTGTATATGGCGGCTGGTTATGGTTTCTTGCCCTTTTATTTTTCTTTGCTAGGAGAGTTGGATATGGATGTCGTTGCTTTTCTCAAGCGGATCCCAAAATTCTCTATGTCTCAAGATGCAGGGGCTCAGGGGGCCGCGTACATTTTTACTAGACGTAGTTTTGCTATAGCTAAGGGAGTGGGGGTCCAGATTGTATATCGGCTACCAACTACTTTTTTGTAGACCTTTGTTTCTTCTACTTCCACTTACAAATAGTTAGAAACAGTGTTATTAAAGCCGAACCGAGCCGGCCGGCCGGACCGGTAAAACCATCACCCGGGCACCAGCTTGGTCCGGCACCCTTTGAAAACTGCAGCGGTTATGACCGTTTGGAATTAAAAAAATCAGATAAAAAATTTCTGGGTTCAAATTCAATGAGTGGTGTCGAGTGGCTCGATTTCCCGAGCTTTTTCAGACTTCACCTTCTCGAATACTCCGACCAGCAAAAACTAAACCCACTGCCAGTGCCGGGCGCCCCCACAAACACGAAGGCAAGCTCCCTCTCCCAATCGATGGGTGTTGGGGTTAGATGCTGGGGTGCCAATCCGTACTCAAGTTTTTCTTCTTCATTCTTGGACAAAAATTAAACCATGAAGAAAGAGATAGAGAGATGGAGAAGGAGCATGAGAACAGAGAGGGGGAAAGAGAGAGTGAGTGAGAACAGAAGGGTGAGAAAGTGAGTAGGGATTTTTTCTTCTCTTGAAAGAGAGAAGAGGGTCGCCGTCGATTCAGTCATTAAATTGTTTAGTTAGTAACCATTTAGCATATATATTATTATTGTTCTACCATGGTGTTATTTTTTTATAAGAAACGGTTCTCTACCGATTTTATAACGGTCTAATATCGGTAGGACCACTAAAGTGCGAGCCATTCACATTATCTGGCCATGCTCTGGTTCGGTTCTGACAACATTGGTTAGAAAGAAAAAGATAATTTTTAATTATGATAAGAAGTTATTTGAGATAAAATAAAAACAATAAGACGTTCTTTTTGCCTCAAACCAAATCAATCATTCTTGAATGGTCAGGACCAGATCCACCAAGAGGGATTGATGATGTCGTGGCCTCGTCTTGGCAAAGAGTTGATGTAAAAGGGTTTGATGCTAGGAGTACTTCGAGGTCGGGTAACCTTCCATGGTCAAAATAGTTAGCCCCTTCTGGTAAACCAACCCGGATCAACCCTCAAATCATCTTCATCCTTTTCTTCAACCTCCTCTCTCTTCTTCATTCATACATTGTAACACTCCGACCTTTGGGTTTAGATTCGACCTTAATACGTGATCGGTTGGATTGACGATTATGTACTAAGAGTTGCAACCGCGGATTAAGAATAACAATTATAATCGTTATTATTATTATTTTATATATATACTATTTCTGTGCAATGATTCAGACTATTGAATTCGTACATTTAGATTGATTGGATCCAGGGGGGATAATGCTAAATAAAAGGAAGGGAAGAGTTAAAAAAAAGGATTCATTATATATATATATATATATATATATCTGGGATGGGGCAGAGAGGCCCAACCTCAAAGTTTCCCAGCTTCATAAATCCCTCCCCCCCCCACACCCCCCGGCCAAAGTTCCCTAGTCACCCCAACAATTGCAATATTTTCCCCCAGCCGATTATCAGCGTCGCCGCCCGTCCCTGCTCCTCATCGCGGGCGGGAAGAAAAGAAGAAGCCCGCTGCCACCTGTGCCCGACCCGGATTTCCCGACCCAGATCTCATCCATTTCGTATTTCTAGGCAAGGATTACAAACCCTTTCGCAATTTCTAAACTCGATTCATCGATAGTCTAATCTGAAGCTCGTATTTTATTAGCGGGGACGTTTGAGGGTTCGATCAACGAGGAGATCAACGTCCCGGGCCATCCAATCTAGTCCTAGGCACGTTCTATAGGTAAGGGAACTAAATCCCTTAGAGTTAGATCGATCGATTTGGTGATTTTTCCCCGGTAATTAGCAGATTCCATTTAGAGCACTCTCCTGGCCCAAACAACACAAGAGTTTCGAAAAAATACAGAGGCCCAAGGCCGACCCTTCCCTTACAAACCAAGAGACTAGAAAGCTATCCAACTACAAAACACTACAACAACTAATAGTTAATTGAAGTTGGGCAGTAAAATCTGGATCACCACACACATAAAGGCGAATCTTTTCCCTGATCAATTCTGTCAACACTTGAACCAGACGAGGAGGCTCTCCGAAGACCCTTCTACATCCCTCCTTCCACACACCACTAATACACCAACTCCAAATAGAGCTTTCTACGAGTCCACATCTTCCGTGATCCTTGATATGTTTGATCATGAACAGCAACTTAGCATACCATTCTCTATGAGTCTGCATTCTGTACCACAACACCCCAGCAGCCATATCCTGCATATACTGACATTGACAAAAGAGATGAGTACGACTTTCTTCAGCCAGATCACACAATGGACATACACTGTTAGATATCAGTCCCCAATTTTTGAGCTTGTCTCGAGTATTGATCCTGCCTAACACAATCAACCAAATCAATACACTATTCTTGAGCAACATAAACTTATTCCATGCTACCTTCCACCATTCTGCCTTTGGTTGCTTCTTACAGATTGATTCTCAAATCACAGACACTGAATATTTATCCATTTGCTTGGCTTGCCAAGTTACAGACCCCTGCTCAAGCTGCAATCTATATTGTATCCAAGGACGTATTTTCAGAACCTGTTTCAATATCCAAGAGCCACAAGAAGACACTCGAACCTCCCAAATGGAAGCTCCCCTTAGGCGATATCCATTGATCCAGGCCACCCAAAAACTTCCCCCTTGAAGGAGAAGTAACCAAATCAGTCTCGCCATTGTTGCTACATTCCAAGTCACAAGGTTCTTCAACCCCAGACCCCCCTCCTTTTTTGGGAAAGCCAAGATGTCCCATGCTACCTTAGCTCGCCCCTGTTTCTCACCATGCCAAATGAAGTCAGAACAGATTCTCTCTATGTCTTTCAAGACTTTTTTAGGGATAAGGAAAATAGCCATCCAGTAATTAACTAAAGAGTAGAGAACTGATTCAACTAACTGCAATCTCCCAGCATAAGAAAGTTTATTAGCTCTCCAGGTTCTTATCCTAGCTATAATTTTATCAAGTAAGACAACACATTCACGGCTTGACAGTTTCCTAGAAATCAAAGGTAATCCCAGATATCTGACAGGTAACCTTCCTTCCTTGAAACCCGACACTTCAAGAGCATTGTCTTTAAACAAGTGAGCATACCCTCCAAAAAAGACATCACATTTTTCTGGGTTGCATTGTAGTCCAGATAGGGTGTAAAAGCAATTACAAACCCTTCGGAAAATATCAGGAGATCATCCGCGAAGCGGAGATGAGTCAAACCAATCTTCTTCAATTGTGGGTGATATGGCAGAGTCCCTTTTAAAGCAGCTTCATTTAGTAAACCAGTTAAGGGTTCCATAGCTATTGTGAACAAATAGGGAGACAGAGGATC